CGCCATCTGCGGTATCAGTTCCCATGTCGTGCAAATACTTAGCGGGAAGCCGCCTCTTGATTACCCGTTTTAGGTCGACATCCGTTATTCGCGGGGTTTCGCAGAGGATCCCCTGTTGTGTTTCGTGCATTTCCCCGCCATGGACGCTAAGTTTAACGGGAAAATTTATATGCCAGATTTCGCTGGAAAATGCCCCCGTGCAGTGCGATAGTGGTCTTGTGTGCAGCGAAGTGTGCCAGAGCGCACTGTGACTCGGGACACGGCAGGGAGCCGGGCATTTTTCTTTCTACAGCATGTTTCTGTTACACCCGAAATATCGTCCACCTCGTGGATTTCACCGTTTCCCACTTCACATTGTTTAATGTTTCTCTATTCGTCACAAGCGGGCGTTCGGACGGAACAACGAATCTTCCGCAATGCTTTTTTCTTTTGTCCGTTTTGGACAATATGAAATTACTTATTGTATGGCGCTATACTGCTACGGTCTGAAACTAAGAGAGCAGCGCTCAACCGCGCACCAGCAAGTTGCTACAACCAACTTCTTTCAACAAAGGTGATAGGCTGGTTGTCGACTCTGGAAGAATTACCACGAGAGTGAGCACTTGCGAGTTCCCTTTTTCCTGCTGCGACAGCAGCGAAAGTATTTGTTGAAGCCAGATCTCCCGGTTTTTAATATATCTGCTGCTGGGTTAACACAGTTCTTAGGCCTGTTTCAGACGAGGAAATCTTTTTTTTCTCAGATTTCGGCGTTGTCGGCGAGTTTTTCTCTAAATGCTTGCGCTGCAACACGAATTCGAATTGTCGGGATTGAACAATTCTAAGACGTTCGAAGCGGTGGCAGTCAAACACAGATGCGATATTTTCACGTGGCACCGGCGGATAGACTATCAGTGGCAGTAATGATGACCCCTGACGACAGTGTATGTCTTTGTCCTGGTTTGCAATGGATCGATTTTGTTGCTAAATTGCTTCAGAGAAATGAGGTTGCATTTTAATGTCGTCTAACGATATAAAAACAGGTCAGTAACGCTTATCTGTGTTTAAATCGTGCAAGAAAATTACCATTTCAGTTACGCTAATGACAAAACCTAGCGAATCAAGATGCTGCTAGTGTACGCAGGAGGCCTTTGTTGTTGCCGTCGAAACAATACGATGAAAACGTTGCTCAGTCCAAAGCGGGCCTTAAGTTCTTACAGCACAAGCGCACCACAACTTCCTGCGAATAAAAAGAAATAAGAAAAAAAAAATCTTTTAGTGATAGTTGTTTTAGATTTGAGGCTTCGTCTATCGAGACACGGATGTTGCCTATGTAACCATCCTCATAAGATTCTTCGTCAAGGCAGACTTGGTCGTCCTTATGAGGTGGTCACTCATCGTTTCGTTATCACGTTCATTGTCTAGCTTAATATGGAAATCAAAGGCATTCATCTAGGATTGCGGCTATTGTGTCTCCTAAAAACCCACATTTTTCACAAATGCTGTATATGAACTACGAACTAATCAGCAGGTACACGGTGTGATACAGTTAACATAGGATTGCCTGTTATTATCCTAGAATTTTCAAAGTGATCGTTACTAGTCTGTTGTAAAGTGATTTTTCCTCATCACCTAAGCGGGAAGAGTTGAGAGCAGTCGTCAATTTCCTGTCTGACTGAAATGCCGGAAAGCGCCGATGTTGCGGTTGCGCAGTGTCGTGCACTGTACAGGTGAGTCCACTTCGGACTTGGGTATTAAGTAGTTGACGTACACACACAAATGCATTATTCCCTTCCCAGGCACGTAGCCAGGATTTTGTTTCGGGGAGGGGGCTCATGACAAAATGCTGTATGAGTGGGAGGGGGGAGAGGAGGTCCCAGCAAAATGGAAGATTTCGGGGGAGGGGGGGGGGGGGGGGGGGGGGCCGGGCCCCACGGGCCTCCCCCCTGGCTACGTGCCTGTCCCTTCCACATGCATGCTAAAGTTTTAAAGACGATCGCACCACACCTGCGTTGTCAAAGGGTTTGACAACGCAAGTGTGGTACCCAAACTATAGCTGTGGCACTGGCAAAATGTTTCACTATACAGCGGGGACGCACTCTGGGGTGACATTAGGTGACAAGCTTCCCACCGCTAAGCATACAGATAACACCATTCTTAAGCGTGTTACCATATTGTGCTAAAAAGAAGGGGTGTATTTGTTTAATTATTTCTCTAATGAAAGTCACGCAAGTTATTTGACACTTGCAGTCGAAATTTTGTTTTCTTCAGCCGGGCGAGTTTACGGTTTATCACTATTAGGACTGGACACATCGATTAACCTATCGATAAATTGAGTACTGACGGAATCGCGACGAATTATTTTAACATGTTAATCGGTTAAATCTTTACAAACAAAAAAGGAAGTAAAAATTCAACACTTTCACCACGCAGAAGTGGATCAGCACACTTGTGTGAAGGCAAAATTTAGGTAAAATGTTGGCCTAAACTAAACCATAGGGGCGAGATTTGTCAGCCCAAATCAGCGGAGAGGGTTAAACGTGTCGCAGCCAACTCAACGTAGCGCAAGTGTCCGTTTTAGTGCAGCAGAGGCCATTGTGAACACTCAAAGGAGTTCGCCATTGCCGGGGAATATCAGCGAATCTCTGTCTTTGTGGCTGAAGTAATAATTTGCGAGTCTGGGTTTCCGTTGATTGTTTTGAACTATCAGGGTCGATTTAAAATACGAAATTGTACATTGCGCCGTTTATCAAACTAATAATAAAGGTCGACTTTTTTACATTAATTTAATTATTACGCGTGGCAATGAACGAAACCGATTGATCGATCGGTTTCGTTCATTTCGGTCGTCGATCCATTTACTCGACCTCGGTTAATTAATCGGTTTCGAAGAGCTTTGCGAGCTAGATCTGAAATGCATAGGGTGGCGAACAATCGAGATAAAATTCTTAATCGCCCCCCCCCCCCCCCCCCTAATTATTATCATTATTGCTCGGCAGCCAATCAGAGTGCGGCGTTAGCCGCCGGACAACCAATCACGAAGTATGAGTCGTAATCATAAGCAACGCCCTGCGTTTCTTAAAGCTGTCGGGGATTCATTTATTAATTGACGTTAATTGATCAATTTATAAATTAACATCACACCTTAGCACGAAACGGGCGCTTCACCAGTTTTAAGCCTACTACAGCAGAGTCAAAATGAATATGAAAATTAATGGCAAACGTGAACGCCTGCCCCCCCCCCCCCCCCCCTATAAACTAAAACCTGATTCGAAAGGATGTAATAGGTGTTGACAACAGAGATATCCTACACGTAACAAGCGCAACTTGTGTAACAGAGAAGTTCTTTATGAATAAGCCGGACTGCATTCTAGACCCCCCCCCCCCCCCCCCTTCCCACAAAAAAAGAAAAAAAAAAAGAGTGACAATAGTGACAAAACGCGTCGGCAACAAACAGCTTTTCGAGCGAGATAATGAGCAGCCTTTCCTGGCGACCATCTGTCGCGCGGAAAACACAAGACCGTCCTGAATGATCGGAGAGCTTTGTGCGGCGCAGCACAATCTGTTGCGACACCTCAAAGGAGGCATATTTTTGCCCCGGCCACGACACCCGTTGCACCTGAAGCTGAATCGCTGTCACCCAAATGCCAGACGCATGAATGCAACTCGAGCCGACAATTTAAACGAGTCTCTCTTGTGTACTTATCGCGCTCAGTCATTATTATTCTAAAGTTGTGCGTATTCAAAAAGTTAGTTTAAAAAAAAAGTTTGAGGCAAGCCATCTAGAATAGACTGCTTCCATTTCCTACGTGCTATTACAAGCGAACAACTGTGAACCAGGTTGTTAATTGTGCCGGCTGACTTATTACGGTCCTAGAACTAACTGCACACGATGTTTCTTTGTTGCTTTTTTTTTTTTTTCTTTAGAAACGGGTGTGCTGCGACAGCTAGAGATGTGGCAGGTATACTTGCTGTGGGAGGGAGATATGAGTAAAACACCCAGAGGGAGAAATTAGTAAAACGCAGACTTGGCATATAATTCTTTTTTCGACAAATAAGTTTTCTTTTCAGATCGCAGTCAGCTTATATTTGGGCAGTGTGACTGCATTCCACGGAATAATCTTTGCATATTTTTCTCGACGTCCTGCGTGGCCCGGGATCACCGCAAGCTCACCAAATCTCCTTTTCGCTCAACATGACAACAGGAATATCGATGTGCAAATACGCAAAATATACTGCCAGAAATGCAAAGCGACCCTAGAGAGTACATCGCGCCATGCCGTGGGAAGGCAATCGGTGTCCGAAGACATATAATATGCGAGTAATATACGTACTTCGATATTTTAAGATGATGTCCTAGTAATTCCTGGACTTCAGCTACATCCGTAAGCACATGGCTACAACGTAACCCTGTGCAATTGGATGTATAGCGACAGGTCATTCGAGAAGCGTGCTCATGCTGGTACTTGGTTCCGTTGCCTCGGGAGCACTAACACACAATGCGGGCAGAAAGCGAGGGAGAGGAGGAAACGAGAGCGCGGAGGTGACGTCAGAACGCCCAGCTCTCGTTGGAATGATTAGTGGGTAGACATGAATCTAGCTGACTTTGTCTACACTGCGCTCGTTGAACGCGTCATCCTGCTCTAGCCTTCGCTGCGGTACAACGTAAGACGAAACGGATATTATTACAGCAAACTACTTGGGAAGCTCCCTTGAATGTGGGTTACCGTGCCTCGCGCATGTCTCTAGCAACAAAGTGAATCCATCACGAATTAGAAACGGGACGCTATCCAGCGAGGAAGTCACGTAGATTCCTATCCTATCAACGAAATCTTCACCAAATGACAGCTATTATCAAGTCGACAAGAGGGAGTCCGGTGGCAGATAGGCCTGAAAACGCGCACAGCCAAGACTAAATAAATACATGCACCGAGTGAACAATATGTTGTCATGTTCGTCTGTCTACATGGAACTTTTTTTATTTTCACCCGATTTTTGTTTCTTTTTGACAAAAGACACACCTCTTCAGACAAAACATTTATTCAACAAAGCAGCGGTCGTTTATTCCGCAGAAGAAAAAAAAGATTAACCTTTCCTATTATGTAGTCATCGTTGACATTCGAGTCGTGCATCCTAACTACGGGTTGTAGTTACCAAGTAGAAATTGCAACTTGTGTAGGCTTGATCGTGGACGATTCCCCCCCTTTTCTCGAAGGGTGTCTTGTTCTCTGCGGCGGCATCAAGTTCTTGTCGATTGCAAGATACTCTGCTAAATTGCATACGTGTGGGGAATAAATTGAATCACGTCAAGAGCCGAGATATGTGTCTGCCTGCCCAGCAGTTGCTCCTAAAGGTCGCAGTAATAAATACGCATTAGCAAATGGTAAACAATGTCGTGTAACACCTTGCATAAACAAGATCACAGGCAAATTCACAAAACTAACAAAACGGGAAATGTACAACTTAATCCTAGCTTTGAACACATCACACATACATAAAAAAAATATTCATTTTGTGCCGAGCGCAAGACTAAGATGTCCATTAGCACACTTGGACTACCGCCATGCACGCAACGCGGTGCCGAAATAGCTTACAAATGCAACCAACCTTGCTCGAAATAAGCTTTCATCATAGTAAAAGAAATACTCGCGTGGGATTGTTCCAAAAAGCGACGCCAACCACAAAGCAAAAGTCTGTACAAAAAGAGCTGAGTGCAAACAGCTCCCGCAGCTTCTCTACAAAACCGCAATTTCTTTTAACTAAATTCCAGGCACTGTGTGTCCGGAGTCGGGCCTAGGGCTCCAGCCTTAGACAAAAGAGAGAAAAAAAAAAACCTATCTCGTTTGCACTTACATGCAAGATTACAGACACTCCACTGCTATGGCACTGATGACCATGCAGAAACTGTCAATTCAAATAGAAAAAAAAAAGAATTAACACACACAGTTTCATCCACACCAGAGGCACACGATGTGAGCGGTCCTTTCGCCTGTACACAACCTCACCGAAGATCTCACTAGTGCTATGAGAAAAACCCTAGGTCCCTGAGAGCTGTCGTGGCCCTCTTGATGAGCTCATCTTTGTGCTTCCAGATGGTAGTGTCCCTCACAGTGTACAGTTTGAAGTCACTGTTGCAGCTCTTCTTAAGCGGCCCCACACAGTCTTTTCGGTAGTGCTGTAGCTGAGCCAACGGCGTGTCGATGCTGTACGTGGTGCACGTCCCGAAGCAGTTCAGCGGGAAGTGGTTGTGCACCGAAACGATGCGATCAACGTTGTGGAAACACTTTACGTACGAACCGGGCTTGGTGAAGTTCTTGGCCCTGTACACATGTTGAAGCATGTGCATGTAGCTTGGGATTCCTTCCTCGTGGACGGCGTGCTTCTCTTCGCCGGTCATCATGTCATCGAGGAAATAGACGTTGCGGACATTGTAACTGGCCCTCGTGTAGTTCTTTGCCTTGAGGGCCAACGGAACCACTGCTGTCATCAGCTCCTTCCAGGTGCTGTGTTCCACAGGCATGATGACCTCGTCGATGTCGAGCAGCGCGATGTACTCGTACGAATATAGGTTCCTGTAGAGGCAATCATTGTACGGAATGAGCTCGTTCTGTCGCTTGTGGGTCAGCTTCATGTTGAGGAAATGATGCCTCAAGCCGGGCAAGTTGGGTTGTCCCCCTGGAAGGGTGATGGGAGTGAGCTCCACGAGGCCCTTGTTCTGGTAGTATTTAAGCGTCTTGGATATGTTCGGGTGTATCTCAAGCTCGTACAGAAAGATCTTCTTGGCGCCGAGGATGTTCATGAGCTCAATCCACTCGACAAGACGCACGCTCAGGTCCTCCTTGAGGAAGTCGAGTCCCTTGACGCAAACCGCAAAATCTTCCTTCACGGCTGGACGGTTGTTGATGACACGAACATTGTTCACTGGTTTGTCGCACTGCTTCTCCACAAGCGACACCGAAGCGGGTGCCTGGTGCTTAGCGTTGATGTAAGGAGCCTTGCACGTCACAATAAAAGGCTGCAGAATACCGTCATGGTAGTTCCCCCACTTGCTGTACCACGCGTACGTATACTTCGTTGTGGATATAGTCGGGTAAGCGCCATCGTTGTACCACAGCTGGCAGACGATGGGCGGCGGCTTGATCCAGTCGACCATGACCAGGATCCGAACAAGAGGCACGGTTCCTACACGCGGCCTGTTGTCGAAGTAGGCGCCGTAGATGTAGAAGGTAGCGTTCTTCACTGTCAGCTTTTGCCAGTACAAGTTGTTGAAGGTGAGGTCGTACAGTTGCGGGTATTTGACGCAGCTCTTGGCGCTGATTGGGGGCTTGCGGCCGTTGTCCCAGTAGGCTTGCGGAATGTTGGACATGTTGGAGAGCCTCTGCAGGAACTTCTTCACTGACGGGGACGGGTAGATGTCCACGTGCGGCTTGAGATCAACGAGTTCGGCCGGATTGGGTTCTTGCTTGACCAGGTTGGCCAGGGTGGATGGAGTGATGGTCGAGGACTGTCTCGTGGTGGACGACGTTTTGGTCTGTTCGACGGGGACGTGATGCTCTGGCGGAGCGGCCGTCTGGAGCAGGGACCGTTGGAAGGGTCCAGAGAGGAACGAGTTACCCGTGCCCTGGGTGAAATGGAAGACGGCGTAGCAGACGCCCATCCAAATGAAGACGAGGAAAAGCAGGCGCCGGAGCGCCCTCCAGGCCACCAGCAGCTGCTTGCGGGCCATGGCAACCAACCGGGGGTCAGGCCGTTAGGGGCCTATCCTGAAAGAGCAGAAAGGTGACTAGTATTAACGCACGTTCCTGCAGTCAGTGAGGACGTGTATCGCGCATACTTCAGTATCATGTCATACATTCACGCTAAAACACCGAGGATTGTGAGTAATCTAAAACTCGTCGCTAGTCTCAGCTCCGCTATATTTTCGTAAAAGGGCACCCTTCTCCGGACATCAGACCTGTGAAACTGGGTCCATTGATCTTTTTAGAAAAGACTGAAGAAAACGGAGCAAGAAATAAGAATTTCAGAGGCAAATCAAATTTCTAAAGCAGAGATGCAGACATGAGCGGGGAAAATAACGAGCAACCTTTTGTTTTCCATCCAGTGTTAAAACTACCGATTTAACTGCTTTTTGTCTGTCGACCATTTACTAAATATGACTTAAGACAAAATCCAACGAAAATTATATTACTCAGTTTATATGTCCTGGTGAATGGAGGTATCCACATTTTCAGAACATTTTCATCCAACTTCTTTTCATACCTAAATTAGGAGCAAAACTACAGTGCAAGGAAAGGAAAGAAAATGCCACATGGCCGCCCCTTTGGCGACCTCGTACATTTCTCACCGCCACACGCAATCCAACTCGAACGGAGCAATAACACTGTCAAAAACGGCAATTCTGTTGCCGTTTTGGTACAGATTTTTCAACGCCACCCCGATTAAAGTATAATAAAAAGAAAATGCGGATCAAACGTTACTTGATGTTCTTTCATGACAAGCCAAAAACACTAGGTCGTAATTCACGAATAACGTCTCGCAGCAAGTTTGTCATCGGACACAAGAAAGACGTTATACATCTTAAGCAAGCACATACGCCTGATCACAAGAACATTGTGCAGCCTGCCCAAAGTTCACAGTTAACCATAGTTCGGGAAGGTTTCTATACGTCCGAGCAGTTGAAGCCTGAAAGCTCCGGCTCACATAAACCAGACCAACGCGCAGCTGTTACGTCACATCACCGCTGAGGTGGCGCTGCCGTCGCCCTCCCGCCAATATGGCTTCTGCGCGCGCGCGCAGCGCTTTAACACCTGGTGTGGGATAACACGGGCTTGTTCGTGAAACAGCGCGTTGCCGTATATGCAGGAGTTATTTCTGCGACTCCTGCGCGACGTGCATAGACCCCGCCCCCCCCCCTCCCCTCCTCCTCCTCCTCCTCCTCCTCCCCCCCCCCCCCCCCCCCCCACCCCCGCCCCGTCCATCAGTTCCCGCGACGTTGATGGTTGGGCCTTTCCCCGCGTAAAGTGTCACCGAGGGCCGCACGCACATAATTGCTTTGAGTAGATACCGTCGCTCGTATACAGACGTATTGTCACGTTTCTATACAGCGCGGAGATGGACCAAGTGCCTTAAATTGTGTCAACAAAACAAAATGTAAGAAAAAAACGGTTCAGACCGCACCTGTTGTTGCAACGTTTCTAGCGCTTGCCTGACGCTCCCACGCCGTGACAGATTTTGAAATGAACCCGGGTACAGCCCCCTTTGAAAAGTCACCTCAAGAAGAAGCGAAAACGAGAAGAAGAAGTTTCTTTTTTTTTTTCTCGTGGGTTATACGCTGCACGTAGTTACTACAAAAGATGGCTATTAGTAGAAGGGGAAAGGGTGTCTTTTTCTCGCGTTTTTCGATAGGAATAACCAATAACGTATTTTAAATGCGTTATTTTAAAACTGACACGTGTCAATTCACAACATAAGAGAGAGAATTAGGAACCTTTCGGGAGGAGTCGATCTTTTTTACGATCAACACACGCTTGTAAAAAAAAAAAAAAAAAAAAAAAAAAAAAAAAAAAAAACAGCTAAGCGGTTAAATTTTGTGCAGACACCGAAAAAAGAACCCAAAGGGCTGGTTCACAGATTCGCGACTTAAGGCTGGTTCACACTGCCCCGTTTTCTAACGTTAAGTTCCCTTACGAAATATTACGTTGAAGTCACCGAAACCTCTGTGCATCATCATAAGCGAGGCCACCAGTTCAAGGAGAAAGAATGACAGGGGACATTCCAGACACGAATGTATCGGTGACTTATACGTGACGTTACTAACGTAAGAAAATGGGGGAGTGTGAATAAGCCCTTAGTGTGATCAGCTGCGTGGCAACTTACTGTGACCGATGACGACGAGAGACGCGTGGTACAAGCCACGTGATGACGTGGTTTGTGGCGCAATGAGACGCTTTGTTCGGGCCGCCTGAACACGTGGTTGTTTCGAGCCAAATATGCACGAGGCGGACAGGTGCTTGACCGAAGAGTCACGCGGGCACATGACACGCTACGTGGCTATACGATACGTGACGTCACGTCGCGTTAAAATCCCGCTAAATGCAGCAGTTGAGCGTAGGTTTTCTCTGCACACACTTTTAAGAGAGAGAGAGAGAGAAAGAGAAGAAGGTGCAGCCTAAGAACCTCTCTCTCATTATAACTGCTGAACGCACGTGGAAAAGAAGGGTCATCCAACTCATTGCCGCCACTTCCCGCTTCCCCCATAAACCAGCAAACCTTGCTTAAAAAAAAAAGTTGCTGACGCATGCTTGCATATAGTTACGCCTAACTAGCTAACCACGCGAATTCGCCGCCAGGAAGTATCCGCGTACCGCCCCATTAAACCGGAGCGGATCATCTTACCGAATGGCGCACGTTCTGCTGCTCTACTAGAAGGGCGAAGACCGCAGACTGCACAAGTGAGCGCAACGTTCGCTATGAACGAGGAGGTTCGGGGAGGGGTCGGTAGAAATGAATAATTTACCAGATCGGACGCCAGTGCTCATTAGCGAAGAACGCAGCTAAAAAAACAAGTAAAAAAAGAAAATGACATGTTTGTTATCGATTGACACGCTCAAACGGATCAACGAGCGATTGGATCACAGCTAGCCCCGATTTCAGGTGACATACGCTTCTCGGTAGCGAATGCCGTCGAAGATGAAAAGCTGCATGTGTCGCCTTCAATTACTGTTCCGCTACACTTGAACGGCGTTATAAATTCCAGCACATTATTAACGTCGCCTCGAGAATGAAGAAGCAAGCAATCGATCACCCAAAAAAGAAAAGTAAGAAAGAAAAAAAAAAAGAAAAACAGGAGTGGAGGTTACATTGTGGTCTTCAAAAGCTGAGGATCGTAGACAGATGCGTAAACAAAAAGGCATTGTTTCTTTTCTTCTTTTCAAACAACGCACGTGCTGTTTAGTAGGGTTAGAAACATGGCTTTTCAGCGGAGAGATCGTCTCGGCGGATTACCGCACTTGGACGCAATCAAAACACGTAAGCAGTCGAAGCCTCTAAGCGACGCGCAAGAATGGCAAGTGTAGTCGCCCGGTCTACAAATCAAATCACAATACGCTCATTAGAGTATGTATCACTACCCGACGTCAAAATGGCCGATCCGCACAAATCACGTAGACGCGGGAAACGAAGAAAAACTTTGGTTTCAGTCACTCTTGAAAGGGAAGGACAATATAGTCCGAGACTATGCTACGGTCCTAGATCAGATATTCGCTGCAGCAAATAGATCGTTCCAATAAAGCTAGCTGGAAGCTACCATCTTTGTCTACCGGGCTGTGCTTGGATCCCATCCCGAGCATGCGCAATGGATCGCGTCCGTGAACATCGTACGCCACGCATATACGTCCATAGTCCAGTGACTCGGCACTTTCAACTATAGGGGTGATAGGCGTTGGAAAAATGTATACCCGCACTCGAGTATGTACAGTCCCCAACAATGTGAAACACCCGGTCGGAAGGGAAGATACGTTCTCGAGCTTCGGTGCCAGTCGATCAACGTGGAACTGTCCAAAACACACGCCGCGCCTCCAACTATTCACGGTTTTAGGCCATGCGCTCCGAGTGGGCCTTTCGTATAGGTGAAGACTGTACCGATATCGGGCTTCAAAATGGCCAATCCATATCTCGCTAAAAGCCGAACTAAGAATAAGCGCATCAACCGCGTTCGAACCGGTCGACGCTGTCCGAGAACACTGGCCGACTTTTGGGACGAGATCTCACAGTACCTGCATGCCACGGGAGCAGACGACATTCAGACTCGCGGGACGGAAGTTCGTATTCCATTCGCTGCCGGCCATGTTTAGACTCGGCTCCATCCCGATCGAGAATATATATACGATCCCCCGCCCTTGCTTGTCTACGTGGCGTGATGGAAGCTCTCTATCCAAGGCACAAGCATCTGCGTTTCAGGTCGACATCGATCTACAGACGCGTAACACGGCTCTATACCGCTTCACTTGACGATGAACCGCGGAAGACGTTACGAGCCATCCAATCCAATCCAATGCCGTAGGAACGTGTCACGTGACCTTAAGGAGGGACGCGGAGAGCGTGGTCACGTGATTCGCTCACAGCGCTGGATTGGCTGGGATTGGCTCGTAGCGTCCTCTGCGGTTAATCGCAAGGTGAAGCGGAGTATAGACACTTTTTGTCTAAATCTCGACGGCGCGCAGCGGGACCTTCTCGCATCGGTAACGTGATGAGACCGCGGCGCTTGGGAAGGTTAGATATTGCCATTATTCCGGTGGGGACACAAAAAAAACAATATTTTGCCTGCAATCGAAGACGACTTGCGTGTAAAAAGGAGAGAGAAAAAAAACGAAAGACTTTTTGGTAGAGCCGAGGCGAAGTCTAGGAGATAATTAGAGCCCAAAGCAATTAAAAGGCGTTCCTCGGAAAACGATTGCTTAGAAATGGCTTCATCGAACACTGCTGCGTTGAAGACAATCAACCGTGTGCGTTTCAACGCTATGTGATAGGACGAAAGAAAAAGAAAAAGGTTTTAGCGACGATTGCTTTAGTGCAATTTAATCTCGGAGGAAGATAAGAGGAAAAGAAAAGGTAGAAAGAAAATTGCAGGCAATCGTGTTATTGGAAAGACGGTTTGGCGCCGCTGCGAAATTGGATTTATTTTGTTTTTTTCGCGTGGTGCCTTTGGAACTTGGGAGGTTATAAGGCAGAAGTCGTTGCCTGCAAGGTAGATATGAGATTTTTT